GGTGTAGAGGGTTGCCCGGCACAGTATCGGAGTGAGCCTGCACTCCAAAGGACCAACAAAGGAGAGTGTGTTAATTCCAATATTCTTGTAAGTGAAGTTAGTGAGGTTGGGCGTGTTAGCGGTTCTGTAACACGATGAAAAAAGCGTCATTAACTGTCAACTGGAGTCCTGGGTGTCTCTATTCGCGTTTGCTTCTCAAGCCGTATGACTGATGATAGTAGTAGTAATTAGAAGTGCAGTAGTAGTAGCAATAGTGGTAGTTTGAGTTTGTTCTATGTTCAGTAGTAATGCGAGATAAGATTATTCCTAGAGACAATACAAATGGGCAATCGCTGCAGTATTGGCCGCACTAGGCTGGGAAATGCACCTGCGCATGTAGCGCCAGCTGCAACAGTTGGCTATTGAGAGTCAACCAAGTGGTATACAGTTCTCTATCGTGCAAGGGTACTTATACGGAAATGGTTTGCGTATATTTGCATATGTGCCTGCACTCCGCAGTAGGTCCATTCGGCCGTACTCCGAATACGTACAGGGAGCGTCATCGTCGCTCTGGCTGCAGGCCTCTTTTCCGCGTTTCTCAGGGCTCTAGAGTCGATAGAGGAAGTGAGCCGGGACTTCGTTCCACTTTGTTTCGATTTTGGGAGTTGAAGAGGGTTCTGCGCTAAAGGGGGTGGCTTGATATGCTTGGCATATCCAATTAGATGTATAAGGCTGCAGACACCAGGTGATAATCGCACTTCCCACAGGGAGGAATGTTAGCGGTGCTGTAGCCATGAAAAGAAAATATCTCCCTTCCCAGTGGAGCTCGTGGGTGTGACAACTTCCGTCTGCTCGTGGGGGCGGATGGCTGACGGTAGTCGTAGTTATAGTAGAAGTGGAAGTACTACTAGTAGTAGATGTAGTAGTATTATTAGTACTAGTATTAGTATTAGTATTTAGTATTAGTATTAGTATTAGTATTAGTATTAGTAGTAGTAGCAGTAGTAACTATAGTAGTAATATTTCCACTCTATTAATAAGAAACAAGATTAAGCCTACAAGCAGCTTGAATAAGCAGTTCCTTCCGACCCTGCGACGACAGGTTATGCGGTGCGCCTACAAACGAAGCAAATGATGTCCACGCTGGTTATTAAGAGTCGAGAAGTTGGCATACCGTTCCGTTTGTTGCTAAAGTATCGTTAGAGTGTCGGTTCGCTTATGCTTGTGTCTGTCTGTGCAATGGCGCAGCAACTCCTATTAGCTGTGCTGCGAATGCGTCTTTACCTCTTGCCCCAGGTCCCTGTGCCGCTCTATTCAGGAAAGTGGAGTCAAGAGGTGAAATAAATAAACTGTGTTCCCCAACTACGTTCCTCTTTGCAATTGGCGAGTTTCCTCCTGAATAGCCAAGGGATCCTGTTACACTTCGTAGCGGTTATGCGGTGCGCCTACAAGCGAAGCAAATGATGTCCACGCTGGTTATTAAGAGTCGAGAAGTTGGCATACCGTTCCGTTTGTTGCTAAAGTATCGTTAGAGTGTCGGTTCGCTTATGCTTGTGTCTGTCTGTGCAATGGCGCAGCAACTCCTATTAGCTGTGCTGCGAATGCGTCTTTACCTCTTGCCCCAGGTCCCTGTGCCGCCCTATTCAGGAAAGTGGAGTCAAGAGGTGAAATAAATAAACTGTGTTCCCCAACTACGTTCCCCTTTGCAATTGGCGAGTTTCCTCCTGAATAGCCAAGGGATCCTGTTACACTTCGTAGCAATGGCACTGCGCTGCAAGCGTTCGCCGCGAACGTCATCCGCCACAGACGGGTAGCCTGAAGCGGAGCAATGGCTAGTCACGAAATCGCTTGCACTGGCGGAAGCACGGCTGGACCCCTGTGCGAGTTGTCATAGCAAGCAGCGTCTTCGCTGATGGGTGCAGCTATTGTCGGTATGGAGTTGAGGACGCTCCTTCGTGCTAGACGACGGGGAAAATGGCGGAGCATGCTAACTGGCGGAACACAGTGTCCACGGGCTTTGCACAGGTACGCAAACGGTTCAGCTTGTGTGATCAAAGCAGAATGCGGAGCCCCTAGCAAGCCTCAACCGCGCAAAGAGGCATGGATAAGCGATTCAAATTTGCACATTTGTGCCGAGTCGTCCTCCAACAGCATACTATATATAGTATACTAATAGGAACAAAGCTGGGCTCCCTCACGGATGTGGGCGTGCATGAATACATTAGTGCAGAAACCCCTGCATATTATGTAAATGCTGAATCATGAAGAACATGTACTCCAACGCATGCAGGTAACGCCCCAGGCGCATAGTTATCTTATTGGGCTATGCAGCTGGCTGCATAGGTGTCAACTCCCAAAATCGAAACACTGTGGAACGAAGTCCCGGCTCACTTCCTCTATCGACTCTAGAGCCCTGAGAAACGCGGAAAAGAGGCCTGCAGCCAGAGCGACGATGACGCTCCCTGTACGTATTCGGAGTACGGCCGAATGGACCTACTGCGGAGTGCAGGCACATACGCGCACAGGGGTCCAGCCGTGCTTCCGCCAGTGCAAGCGATTTCGTGACTAGCCATTGCTCCGCTTCAGGCTACCCGTCTGTGGTACATGCATGCATTGGAGTACATGTTCTTCATGATTCAGCATTTACTGAATAGCCAAGGGATCCTGTTACACTTCGTAGCACTTAATGGCACTGCGCTGCAAGCGTTCGCCGCGAACGTCATCCGTGCATGAATACATTAGTGCAGAAACCTCTGCATATTCAGGAGGAAACTCGCCAATTGCAAAGGGGAACGTTGTTGGGGAACACAGTTTATTTACTCCGTCTCTTGAGAGGTGGATTCGCATACTGTCTTTTGTTGCTCCGACTGGGCTGGGCTCCATTGGCCCAATAAAATTAAGCTCTATAATTAGTCATTCCTATTAGGGTAATTTCCAGCAATTTCTGCAAGGCCGGTGTATGCTGTGGTTGTATGCTCTTTTCGATGAATACCTGCTGCTGCACTTGTGTTGGTTTCACGTTTTCATCATATAGGGTTCCCTTGGCAGCCCGTCTGGCTACGGGCTGCTGTGACCAATAACTTCACCTGTTTGCGTTTTTACTGATTGTGCTGCACCCTGTACACTTGCCAACCCTTGCCAACTCCGAGATGAACTTGCATTCCAGCTTTCGAGGGGAAGCAGTCATATCCTGGATAAGATCCGTAACGAAGATATGCGTGCTTAGGCAGGAATACCCTTAGCATGCCTGTTCATTGCTGCTCATTTAACGAAGTGAATGCCATTATGAATTGGCTCTTCACGTAGGCCGTGAGGGAAAAGGAGACGTCCAGACGAGCTTGGCATTGCTTCGCCGACTCCAGATCGCTTAACCAGTCGTTCTTGGACTGTGGGAGCAGGAAGACATGCTTGGCATATACCGTTCTCGTTTCAGTTCGACGGAGCACTCACCTGTTTACCGTTTTCTCAACACAGGGTACATCCGTATCAATTTTCATTCTCCGGGTGCTGCCCTGGGCTGAGCTGTTAACGACGCTGTTGAGGGTGCTGTATCTGCATGTATTTCTCCCAAGTTCCTCCTGAATGAGAGCATTTCCGACCTTGGACTGCTCTGCAACAGGCTACCCGTCTGTGGGCCTGCTTTCCGCAGCTACTATTTGCCTCACTGCAACGAAAAACGCTGGCAAGTGTATGGGAGTCGCGGAATTTGGACGAGAGCTCTCCTCAGCTGCGGCATGGGGAATATTTGTGGAGCATAGTTCGAAAAGCCAACTATCCTGGCCTGTTGATCACCGGCATGCAAGTAAGCGGCACGCAGCCCTGGGCTATTTAAGGACAGGAACTGCCCTAGTACGACGGTCTGATAGCCACTAGAGGGATTGCTTGTGTGCACTGTCTACAGGCTGAGTCGTGTTCGATATTGCTGAAAACCAGTCAACTAGCACATTGGCAGTTGCAGCAGTCTGCCGAGCGTGCTCAGAAGCAACGGAGAATCGAGACAACCACGCATTCCTCCAGGGAGTTGACGCTCTACTCGCAAATAAAATGCCTTTTCCACGTTTAACCTAACCAATTCCGAGTGGAATATAACTGCAATTGGAATTTAATTTGTTGTTTTCGAGCATCGCGTCCGAGTCCGGGGCTTAGTGGGGTGCTGTGTCTGGCAGTGCTTTACACCACGCTAGCTGATGTGCAACAGATGCAAGATCAACGCCACTTGAAGTAGTCGAGGTTTGACAGTGTCTGAATTACCCAAGACTGCTACAACTCTCATTCCTGTTTCTGTTCAAAAGGTACTTAATGAGCAAGGCGATTCATTTACGCAACGATAATCTGGTGAGTAGGCAAAAAGCGGTGGGACCACAGGCAGGCGGCAGGGTCTACCTCCTCCCCGAATGGAATGTTTGGTTGCTCCATGGAGATGAACCAGGAGCGTAAAGTACCGAGATACTTTTAATATAGTTTTCAAGCTGTGTGAAGTTGACTCTAGGAGCCGTGTGACTAAGAAGGCAGCGTCGGTTTTTGCCGTGGACCTGAGGACCGACCACTGGTTGTTCCATGAAAATGCAGGCGTGTGATCCAGCAAGTGCGCTTCCGGCACTTATTCACCACATAAATAAGAGTTTCCGGTCAAAAGACGGACTGTGTATGCGTCCCCTGCGTGTGTGCTATTTTTAGTAGGAATTCACCACTCAGTCTGCCAACCCCCAGTTGCTTTTCGCGATGATGCCTGGCAGGGAATTTGGGAATGCAAAGGGCTCCGGCAAAAAGGAAGCCAACCAAAGGATGGTTGGAAGTTTGAGGGTGCCTATGGTGGAGGCTATTTCACGCACATCCGTACCACGCCCTCAATGCTCTGTGACCACCTCACCTCCCTGTGCGGAGGTCCACGGTTCAGAGTGTCACGGTAAAGAGTGCCCAGCAGTTGACATAGCTTCCAGGTTTGCTCCATCTCATGGTTGTAATACAGTTGTTCCTGTCTCAACTACCCCCTCATTTCCGAACCCCGAGAACCCCACGCCCCCCAGTCATTCAGCATCCCATAGGGCGGTCCCTGCAGCTTGCTCCCTACCGGGTCATCCTTTTCTTCTCACGACGGTCCCCATGGTTCCCCTTATATGCAGGCCTACAACGCCGCCAGCATCAAATGCTCCTACGTGCCGATTTGCGATGTGCCCCACACGTGGCAAGGACGAACCACAGGGTTGCTGTCCCAGCTTCCGCGAGTGTCACAGCACGTATTTGGGGACAGCTGCTGGAGAACAGGATGACTGCATCGAATCGGGTGGAGGTTGTTGCGTGCTACGTAGAGCAGCCATTGACGGAAAGGGGCCTAGTGGATGCATTCGGGGGGTCAATCAAACCGCATGGGACGCTGCGCGCGGAGGCAGAAGCAACATTAACAGACTTGTGGAGAGCTCTGCAACTCAGCACGGTTCTTTCCCTAGGGATCGGGGGTACAGTGGTAGTAGGGAGGAGAGAATCGAAAGGCTGCAGACCAGCACAAAAGCCGACATAGGGACATGCCACGGGAGATGTTCTGAAGGGGGGTGTAGCAGGAAGGCGACGGAGAAAGTTCCGTCTCGCAGCGATCGGGCGCTTTGGAACGCTCAGGTAGCAATAATGGCAAGTTGCACTCTTTGCGCCAGTCGTCAAATAACAAATTTCCCAGTGGATTTACGCCGACGTGGCGCGCTGTTTGTGGAGAGCAAGGCCGTCCGCATTCCTTTGTTGTGGCATTTGCTCGTGCGTGAACTTGCATACTGAGCCCTTTTCTGTGATTGTGTGTGCAGCCATACGCGCAAGCAACGCGGGGACGGCCAGTGGATCAAACACAGCAGGGCCAGGAATGCAGAGCAGATGGCCAGGCTGCACATAGTGTTGTGCGACTCGGTACGGGTGCGTTGGCAGTCTATGTGCTATATTGTTGAGTTCTAGCTGCGACGGGAAGGCCTTCATGAGTCGTTAGTTTCTGTCTAGGCATGGAATGGCGTTGTGGCTGTGTGTCTGCAGGTTCATGCTGTAGCAAGTGATTGTCTGTTTCAAAACGAATGCAAATATATATAGGACATATATGTTAGCTATTTTTCTTTGAAGACCAAAGTACGAAGCCATTGATTGTGTGGACATGTATGCATGCATACGTGCGTTACGTTTGCGAATTACGAATATCATGCATGTAACATGGTTTTCTCATCAGCACCGACGGACATGCTGTGCATATTTTTCTTTCTGGGCTATGCAGCTGGCTGCATACGTGGACATTTGTATTTTCATGCACGAATGCCAAAAGGTGGCCGTGAGTAGAATGAACACGCACGTACTGTTTATGGACGTAGCGTTTGTGTCTGTGTTGTTGCATTCGCTGGCCGTATCCTTTGGGAAAGCTGTACTGTGCTCTTGTCTAGTAGCGATTCTACATTCACCCGTATCCGTCGTATGCGCGCGTACATCAGTGGACACGGTACCCATTGGCGATAGGCAGATCTGCTTGCTCTATTCGCTGGGCAGCGCTTTCCTCTCGGTCTCGCACTTTCCCGTGCTATTTGGCACAGGCGGAGGTTTAATTTCTTTGTTGGGTACACCCCTCCAGCGACTTTTCCCGAGGATCGAGGTCCGCGACATAAGGCGGGGCACGCCATTCCGAATTCCATTTTGGTGTTAATTTCCAATAAGAAGCAGCAGCAGTAGCAAAGAAGTGCCGACGGCACTTCACGTATGGCCTGCCGTACCTCCTGCCACAGATCTAGCCGTCTGTGAAATAAACTAGGCGCAATGATTATTGGGTACACAACTGCTAAAGTAGCAACGCCACTTGGAGCGTTAATGCAATAGACTGCATGCACATAGGGACTCGCTGTGGGACAGCTATTCTCTGTCCCTATTAGTTCGCTTATTTCCACTTGCTCGTCCATTTTACGTTTCTAATGGAAAGAAACACATTGTAACTGAGTAAGCAGCTCCGGTCTGTCGCGCGAGTATCGTGTTCAGTAGGCGCGTGCGAGTATCGCAGTGGATAACCTCACTTGTTGGCCAGAACGAAAGGATACGCCCATTCCCTATTGAGGGGAGCTTCAATAACCCACCATGATGGCTGTTGGATACCGCGTAGCCAGCTGCGAGGCACCCTCTGGAAATGTGTGCTTGGCTCAAACGAATGGGGATAGCACGTATTGTAGCGATCGGGAAGGCGGATCCCATAGCACCTACACCAGAAGTATGATAAGCACATCGAAATTCGTAGCGCTGCGTGGTTTGTGGTGCGAATGGAGTCCCCGCCGCATTCGCCACAGCGGACTGTCAGGCGCCGGCTTCGTCTGTGACGGGGAGGTGAGACGTGCAGCTCAGATGTCCTTGGGAATGACCCTCGGGAAGCGATGACACGGTGTGCGTTAAATGGCTCGCACCGGGATATTTCCTTCGCACCCATCAGGGGCAGTGGTAGGGTGGAGGGCGTGATCACTGACGGACAGGAGCCCAGGCTATATTGGTTGAAAGAGAGGGGGCCTCTTAACGCGGGAGCGTGCACGTTTGGGGGGGTGAGTTGTACGATGCAAAGTAGATGGCCGCTTGTGTCTATGTAACGTAAATTTCTGGAATCCATCATTGCTTCAGCTGTAGCTCGAAGGGGAGAGATCTCTCGTAGCGAACAGGAAACCACGGACTCAAATACCACCAGCATCAGAGGGCGGAACAGGTACGTGGAGGGAAAAGCCGCCCATCGAGACCACGACCGCATCTTCCACAGAGTAATGAAATACGGAGAGCAGAGAGCTACCTCCGCAAAACAATAGACTTCGTCAGGTACTAGCCGATGTACGGACGTATGCTACTAGCCTTTGTGCCGACTTCTCCTGTGCATTATCTCGATTATTAGTGCTTATTGATTTTACTACAGATCATCTGAGTATCTCTTTCTCCTTGGCTACAGTCAACCAGAATCGAGACGCCTTCCCCCATCGTGATGGCGACCAGTTCTGTCCCTCAAACAGGTGACGGTCTATTCTCAAGGAAAATGCCCCAACCACGCACCGTCTTTCTAGTCCCGCCTGACCAGTACCGTAAAACCAGTCCCGCCTACAACTGGACCGCAGATGACATTATTTTAATGGTTCAGAGGGACGTTAAGCTGAGGAAATCAGCTCCTGAATCAGATGGTGCCATCTGACTTATGCATCTTGCTCCTCATATAGGGTTTTAAGAGCTAACAGGATATTCTTTTACAAAACGATAATTTAGGTAAGTGGTAGAAGTGAACAGAGACTTCGGGATCATTGGGCAGCCTCAGAGACTACCGTTTCCAAGAATGATGTGGGTAGTGCCTCATTCGAGATACGCCAGCTGTTTGCAAATCATCCACATACTCCAAATACCTTTTTCAAGTTTTGTAGCTGAGAATGCAGGCTCGACATTTAGCCTGTGGTGCAGTACACAACAGTGGTTGCTCCAGACGACGGAAATCACGTTCTTCTGTAGGCATACACTAACCCCGTATGTAAAACCTACTACTTGGCCCTCTGTACCCAGCCTGCGCACATGGGGAAAAGTGCACCAAATTCAGTGACGACGTGGCAAACATTAGGTAGAAAGTGGCCATGTGATGCTACCTCTTACGAGGAGCGGTATCTGCTGCTGCGCTGCTTTTAATCACAATGCAGCAATGTGTGGAAATGCAGCAATTCCACCCAGGGTGATTTGCGGTGATAGAACCGAAGAGGACGTTGTGTTCCTTCGCATATCCTCGTCTGGGTTTGGGCCAGAGCTGATATCTTTATGCTTGGCCATTGGATTTCCTCATTGTTCCAGCTCGTGTACGGTTATATTCTGCCTCCGCTTTTTCGTGTTCCTCTATCACCACTACTGATTTTCCCCTGTGAGATGCCACGTTCAAAATCCGTCCCCTCCCCGACCACTTGTCCCTTCCAGTCCCACAGGGCTCAGTACCTTCTATTTAGTCTCCCGGTGTCTGCTAACCGCCGCCAGCTAGCCCATGAAACGAGTAGCCACTGAAAGCTCGCACTCCTCTGTATCCGGCGGCAGCTTTGTACGTAGGTCGGCGCTCTGTAAAAGCTTTAAGTGTGTGTTTGTCACTGGTCCGACTGCCGCTTACAGGACTGGCACACCTTCTGATGAGGGCCGTACTCATTTCCCTACCAACTTCTGAAGGAGTGTATCCGTAGCTAGCAGCAGAAAACACCCCAAACCCAGAGGCCGTCACAGTCTTGCTGCTGCTTGTGTTGTTCCTCCCGAACACTTCTGAAGAACGTGCTGCTGCAGCTACTGCGGCTGCTGCTACACACACAAATCCTCTAGTAACGAGACAACCTTGCTGGTGAGAATATAAATAACTAAAACACTACCGCGTCCGTCTCGGCAGCAGCGTGGATGTCAGCTGTTGGCTACGTCTAAACGTATAGGTACAAGAGCAGTGAGACAGACTAAAACAGTGTTAGCGGTCTCTCCATGCAAATGCTCGTTCGGCTTCAACGAGGTCGACAAGGGTTAAGTCGCCCGTGACAGTAAACTGTCACGACAGTTCATTTCATCCAATTATGGTGAAAATGACCCTGCTGCTTCTCCGGTTGGAAACGAAATGGTGGAGCCAGAATCATGGAAGGTCACCTGCGGCCCAGGGCACTGTGTAACTGCATTAACAATGACGGGAAGTTTGTTGCTGCTAACGAGCCGGAGGTCGCCAATCCCGCCTCTGTAAATCCAAAAGCCATAGCAGGACTGGCACTCTAGTGGTCGATCTAATCTTCGTCTGCCACTGCAGGAGGCATCATCTCGTTGGGCTGAGGCGGGCCTTGGTGATAGGGAGAAAAGTGGAGTTTTTCCGGGTGTACCGGCACCCCTCCAGAGCCTGCCTCTCTACGGGAAAAGCAACAGCAGCAGGCAGGAGCGGCACCAGTGGGGGCAGCAGCACACGCAGCAGCAGGTAGGGTGAAAACAAAACGCATGAATCGCGCCGTTAGCAAATGTCATAGTGCCCCTCTGCATAAGCGTGCCAACGAGCTGTAGAGATGCTGTGCAAGCAAAACTCACTGCAGGCGGCATTTGACTAAGTCAGGATGCAGCAGCAAAACGTGGTGCCCCTGAAGATACCTGCGACACAGGCAGCTTTATTAGAAGATGCACCACTCATCCAAGCAGCGCTAGCTCAACCATGGGCCCCATGAGTAAGCGCACCCACGGCCAACCCAGCATAGCAGCACGAAGCTTTATGCGGGCAGCAGCAGCAGAAATCAATGTCGTGGTGGCATCAGCGCCACAATTGGTTTCACAGCAGGAACAACAGGTGCACCAAGTGTATTGACGACCTCTGAAGGAGGAGGAAGCAGGTTTGCGGCGGTCACAGCAGCTTATATAACAAACCCGGGAAAACTAGTAACAACAACAGCAGCACAACAGCAGCAATATCCAGTCGCGGTACCTAAGGACACCAATTTCCTCGAGAGTCCTCTGAATGTCCTCAGGGCGAATGGCTGTAGCTCGCACCAACTCCTGAAGCCGGAAACAGCGCCGCAGAAACAACCAGCCGAACCTCAACGGGTTCTGTAAATGCCAAGGGGATGCATTGCCAGAAGCAACAAAGAGATGGCCTGAAATATGTGGAAAGAAGGCACTGATACTAAAGCACGATCTTGCAAGCAGGCAAAGCACCAAATTGCAGGCAGCAAGCACACACGCAATATTGTAGACAAGGGATGATCAGGTGAAGAAGGGAAGCGAGCCGACGTGGAAAGAGAAAAAAGGACTGAAGACTGCGATACAGACCGCCTAGTTGTAAGACAGAGAAGGGCCAGATGCGGCCAGAAAAACTGGCATGACGAGAGGCCCTACTGTCTCAGCAGCAGCAGGCCAGAACAGCAGCAGCACACACTGCACCCGAGGCACCGGTTGGCGAAACGCTGCACAAGCTATGTCTGGATGCAACACTGGCAACAGTAGCAGCAACAAATGCAGCGGAGAAAGGAGCAATTTAGGAGGCTAAAGCCGATACGATACACTTTGCAGCATCCGGAAACGGCAATGCTGAGGTGGAGACGTAGGCAGCAATGCCAGCAGCTACAGCACCAGATACAGCAACAACAGAAGTATCATACTGCCTACGTGTATGGAAACGCGTTTTTTGGCCATCCACTGTGGCTCTGAAAGTAGGTTCAGCAGCCGCCAACTCCACCAGCCGATGTAACTGAGGCGACCCAAGTCAGAGAGGGGCCTTTCGGGTCCCCCGCGTTTATTTTCTTTCAATGATAGCACATAGCTAAATGATATCAAGAAGCGTCCATAGCCTTTGCGCTGATGCTGCGGAAGAGTCAAAATGCTAAAGGACAGGCACCACACGACAAGCATTCCCACTGCTGCTGTTGCATTGTTCCGTAGTGTATGTGCTCTTCCTGATACACTGCCGATAGTTTCGGTAACGTTGCGGCAACTGGCAAAGCAACTGTTACTGGTGTTGCTGGTGCGGGTACTGCAAATGCTGGTGCTACTGGCGCCGTTGCCGCCACACCGACTGGGTACACATGAGACACGTGTCCACCCAAACAAGGAAACTCTCAGCGAAACAGACAGTGAGGATAGCAGGACCAGCAAATGTATGAGCAGCAGCATCAGCAACTGCAACACCGAAAGGAGCAATGGTCTCACCATGCAAGATTGTATCCCTGAATAGACACCTTTTCCTGCACCAGATACGCATTTGTCAAGCCCCGGCAGATGCTGTGCGTTTGGCAGCTACTGCTGTGGGAATTACTGCTGCTGCCTTTGCTCCTTAGCAAAGGCGTTAAACCACTAAATGGTAGTAGGCTGACAGCGTGCGCCACCACCAGCATTATACACAGCTGCAGTAACATCGAGGGTCTTAACACTAAGTACCTTCGAAAAGTATCCGATGAGGTGAGCTCCCCCCGCGTCAACCTGAGAAGTTGCAGTGAATAGCATCATATGGACATGCAAACTGCTACGCTGACCGACACAAAACCATTCTCGGGCCCCGCAGCAGTAAACAGGTTTACAGCAGAGACAGCAGGAGCTAACGTCGTAGGAGCAGTTGTGTCATGAGCACTACCAACAACAAAAAAGAAACGAACGCAGTACGAAAGGGCGGTTGAAACAGCACCAACGGCACAAGAGCACATGCGCATAATTACTCGCGACAAGAACAAGCTTAAACGGTATTGGTTACGGACCTCCGTAAGGACGTAGAACAGGAAGGGCTCGACGTCAAACTGAAGCGTCTTGTGGTCCAAGAAGAGTTTTGCCAAAAAGCACAAGTTCTCCTATACAGAATAAACACGACAGCATGTTACTTTATGTCCACGTTCAGGTGGTGCAGTTGCAGATACTGTTAGTGGCCTGTAGAGAAAAGGCACCCACGCTGTAGACTCGAGCCGTCTTGCCGTCAACTTCGAACATAGACAAACTGCAGCAGATGCAGCAACAACAAACAATGGAAAGCATACCACCGGTGTCTTGCGTTTCGCAGCAACAGCAGGGGCATATTTGGAAGCAGGAAAAGTAGCAACCACTCAATCGAAGCACTAGCAGCAACTGCAAAAGAAGCAGAAAACACCAGGAACGACTACAAAGGAAGCTCAGTGCAGGTATTGTAAATAGCTAGCCGGCTGCGCATCGCTTGCCCAATTCGGCCCATAGTCCACCAGCACCAGCAGACAGCAAGTGAAACCAACAAAAAGCACAAACGGGCCACTGCGTGTGGCCGTCTCGGTTGGCGGAACCATAGGCCCGTACGATGGCAGCAGCAGCAGCATGAGCCTGGCTGTACTCTGGAGCGACTGACTGTCCATCTCTGTAGATTTCGTTGCCTGGCGGATGTCTCACGGTGCACCTCAGGGAGTGTGTGAGAAGCTCGGAGGCCTTGAGGAAGAAAGAGAGGCAGAATTCGCAAATGTGAAGATCTGAGGCCTGCGCCTCAGCCGGGTAAGGCGAAAAGTACCAGGTGTCAATCTCCTGACCCCCAAAGAATATCCTGTTAACGGTCTTCACGCGCGTAGCTTCTTCGTGTGCCGCCAACGTCGCTGAATCCATACCCTCGTGTTCCTCGTCATCGTGCTGCAATGACGGCCGACGCAAGCAAGCAAAGGGGATGTAAATAGGCGGCGAAGTTATCCGAAACCAATCGTAAAACCCAGCACAAAAGAAGCTGACCAGAGCCCACGGAGCATCGGACGAGAGCACAAAAATCATGTCGCACTGAGGATGAGGGAAACTTTCACGGATGGAAAGACGTAAGATCAACAGTAAGAACCAGGAGGCGAAGCGACAAGTAGAATGAAAATGTAGAAGATGCCAGCAGTGCACAAAGTTCAATCGAGAACAGCTCGTTGCTTTCAAAGGCATAATACTAAAAAACACGTGCACTACTTGTGTCCAGACATATGCAAAATTGAGCATACGATACTGGTTTTCATCCCCTTCACCTCCGCGAATGTTTAATCAAGCAGAAGTGAAACGTAGACATCCCTCTAGCGTGTGTTTTTCCGACGGTCAAGTCGCGCAGGCCGCATGTGCGTGATATTTTACACCCCTAACCTGTTCGTTACTGACAAAATTTCGCGGACAATACTAGAGTTCTAACCCATGATTATGTGCATAAACCAATTGAAGGATGCACGGCAAGGAAAAGGCACGTCCAGCATAAGAGCGAGAGCAGGCAACCAGCAGAAGGCACTAGATATGTACAGGGCTGGGACACACCCAAAGACGAAAGAGAGAAATTGGGGGCAAATGTAGTTATGGCATATTTCACTACGTTAATATGGTATCTTTCACTATTCTAATACAAAAACTCAAACCGGCGCACATCTGAAAAGACGAGTGAAGGGTCGAAGAGCAGCGCCTTGAGCTCCTCAGCCTCTGCACTCCTCTCGCTCTCCAGGCGTTTCCAAGCAGCAGCAGCGGCAGCGCAGTCGTCCGCTGCATCCCGCTCTCCTGCTGCTGGTGCCGCCGCTGGTAGAGATGCGGCCATGGACACTTCGGCTAACCCGGCAACTGCACTACCAACAGAAGCAACAGCACCATCCGAGGTAATTGGGCATTCGTGCGACAGCTTCATTCGCTTGGGCATGTGCTCCTCTTTTCGAGCAGCCTCTGCGGTTGCATGATCGCGCATTCCCTCAAGTGCTGCAGCATCGGCTGCTTCTGTTCCTGCGGCCCCAGCAGTAGGGGAAGTTTGCCGTGAGGTGCCATGCTGATCAAAACCCGTCGGTAGCAATACCTGTCCCCTTGCATTCACCGGGAGTAAATCAGAGAATCGAAGCCAGCAGTCTAATCGTCTGTTTGTCAGGCGGTAGTGCACATAATATTCATAAGCACTAGGACACAATGCTGCTGCTTCGGTTGCTTCGTTGCTGCCTGCAGAATCGAGAGCGGAAGAACTCCCCGCCCGCGACACAGTGCATTTGCTCGTGCTGCTCTTGCAGCTGCTACTGATGCTGCCTAAGCTGCTGCTACTGCTGCTCCTCAATTGTCTTATGAGCCCCGGCTGCATCACCTCATCTGGCAGGTGCGAGCCCGTCTCGCCATGGGTTCTCACTGACAATATCTGCACCAGCACACACATGTATGCTGCTGCAGTCAAAGGACACCGCAGCAGCTGTACTACGAGTGGCAAGGCATTGACCAAGATCTGCACCTCCGTTGCAGCAGCAACACTGCAAGCATCTCCAGTGTCAGCTGAGCACGCTGGTGAACCATTACCATCACTGGGAATTGTAGCTACGGCGTCACAACAAGAAAAACCGCATATTCATGCACTTTACCTTGGCCAGTCTGTGCTCCCCCGTCGGTTTGAACAGAGCAGCAACCCACTGGTTGGTGCCTAGACATCGCGCCTTTTTTCCCCCACAAGTCGGACCCCGATGCTGCTGTTGCTGCTGCTGTTTGCTGGTGGGACGATGAGTAGGCGGCCCGCGAACAGAGGACACGTTGCTGTTGCTGCTGCGCATGGAAGACACGACACTACTTCTGCTGCTGCTTGTGCTGCTGCTGCTGCTGCTCCCGCCGCCGCCGCCGCCGCAGGCGCTGCTGCTGCTACTGCTACTGCTGCCACTGCTCGTGCCGCTGCCGGCGCTGGTGTTGCTACCTCCGCTGCTACTGCACCTATACGAGGATACCACGCCGCCGCTGACGTTACTACTGCCACGACCCGAAGGTGAAACAGATCCCTCCGACAGCTGCTGTTCTTCAACAGCACCGGCAGCAGCATTCGAAGGAGCAGGTGCTACTGCTTCCGCGCTACTTGGGGCAAGCATCCCTCCGCCATTTGGCCCCTGAAGATCCATGTTGCTGTTGCGTGGTTTGTTGCTTCTACTGCTTTTGCTGCAGCTGCTGCTTTTGCTGCAATTGCTGCTTTTGCTGCAGTTGCTGCTCTTGCTGCAATTGCTGCTCTTGCTGCAATTGCTGCTGTTGCTCAGCTGTCGCTTCATTTGCTGTGCATGAGGCTCCTCTTGCACCCGACTGCTTGCTTCGTCCCCCAAAAGGGGCCTGTGCGCAGCGGCGGCGTCTTTGGCGGTGCGTCTCGTCCTCCCGGTGCTTTTCCTAGTGCGGATGCTAATGCCTCTCCAAATATACGGCTGTCCTGCGGAGCCTAAGTTTAATGTCCTGGTAAATGCCCCCGTCGCAAAGACTCTGCAAGGATTGTCACGGAAATGAACTGCTGCTGCTTTTGGCGTTATTTCGCCCGATGATATTGTGAAAAACGGAGGACGAACTTCGAAACTTCGTTTTGAGGGCAGACTTCTGCCATCAATCCATTGCATGCAAAACTTCCGTCACGATCCCACAGGCAGCAGTGGAAGAGCATAAACCCGTCCCTACTGCTTCCGTTGCCACCGCTGTTGCTGCTGCAGCAGGGGACCAATGCTGCATCATATACTTTCGATTTTACTGAGGGCTTCTGCACTATTTCATCATCTTGCTGCTGCTGCATCTGTTCTGTGTGGCTGGAGGGGGCCCCTTCTGCCGCTGCAGCCGACAGTGACGGAACGAGCAGAGCAGGAGGGCTTGCCGTATGCTAAACGCGGCAGCTAAACCGAGACAGCAGCACCTTAATTAGCAAAGGTTTTCAAATTGATTGGGATCTCCTGCATGCACCCAAGCCAAGGCTCCACATTTTCTACTGAGTCACAGCGCCACGTCGTCTAAACGCACAGTAACGAGCCCTATATAATAGCCCAAGGCAAATCGTAACAATGGAGCTAAAGTAATTAGGAGTAGAATTTCCGAGCAGCTAACCCCCCAGCCAGTCACTAGGCGTGCTTTGCAAAGGGCTACATGATCATATGTAGCTTCCTGGTGCGTAGTATGTAAGATGTTGAGACGTCTGTCAAGTGGTGCCACGAAACCATACCTCGCAGAAGTGGACAAAGGGTACGGAGGCAGAAGTCTTCAACAACTGCCCACAGTGTTTTATGTACAATGAAGAGGGCGTGATGTGTTTTGTGGGGCCGTTTTGCACTTTGAGCTGTAGTGCACGGCGGGCCCTGGGTCTTATCCGAAGCCTGATGTGCGCTGCGGTGGAGTGTAAGAACTTCTGGGATTGCTTTACATGCAACTGGACGCCCTTCCCAATCTCCAGGCGTCCTGAAGCCCGCATCACAAGCGCCTGCTGCGGCGGGGGAGAAGCAGAACGCCTAGCCTGCAACGAGTTGCAATGCACCTTGCCGCAATCCAAGGTGCAAAATGTACCGACAAACACAACCAAGGCCTCGTGACTGTATGAATGAACACAAGAGACAACGGCCTTTTGTCTATTGTTGCCCGGTAAGGGTGCATTCGGCAACTTCAGCCAGAGTTGCAGGTATCGCCCATAATTTGCTACATCTGTCGCCCCCAAACCAACCAATGCAACCAAGAATCATCGCCCGTTATTTGATAGAATATGGCAATACTTACCTGTAATTCGTCTCCGTTGGGATGCGGCAGAGGCGAACTTTGGCTGGGGTTGTTGAATGGCTGGTGTTTTTTCTATTCAACAGAGGACCACTCCCGGATATACAGAATTCGTTGAAAACTACCATTCTCTTGTCTGTGACACTATTGGCTAAGCTAGCTGGGGTGGGGGCTTTCCGACCGCTGGGGTTGCCTTTTTGTATTGTAGCGAAAACACAGAACGTGATACTGGCTCGTTTGAGGGAGCTAGGCGTATCGTTGACATTGGCTGACGCCCCAAGCTCGCCAAATATGAGGTGTTGATGTATGCTGGGTTGAATGAAGCTCGCTGTAGATAGATTAAAGGAGCTATTCCACATTACAGGAGTAATTGGCACACTCCAGTGCAGACACTGCGAAATTCTGGGACTGCCTGTGACGTGGAACGGAAGCAGCTACCGAATACTTCTAAGGAATTCAATCTTAAGCTGCACTTCTCATCCCAACACCTGCACTGGTTTAAGCATGGATTACACGTGGCCACACCTAATGGCTGAGCGCAAATTATGATCAGCAGCATATTTACCTTGCCATCCCCACTGTCATTTTAACATGCTTTTATTTAAACACGTCTTCTCTTTCGTTTTTTTTTTTGACTGCTACAAATTCTTATCGGCAAATGCGGCTGTTCAATACAGTGCAAAGTCATAGTGCTACAATGCCGTACCAATAACACATTCTAAGGCTGCTGTCAGTTCTACGTACAGGCATTTCGGAAGTTCGTGCTTGCGCGGTCATTCTCATTCCAAGCCAATCGACCTGTAAATTTCCAGGCAAAACGGGTGGCTCTGCATCTACCGTTAGCAGCTACGGCCGGTGCCGCTTCCCCCCTGCTGCGCATAGGCAGACCCGTAAGCGTCATCCACACTCGATGAATCCCCAGCCCCATGAGCAGTTGCACCACTGCATAAAGCTCTCTCGGCATCGGCCCCTTCGTGTGTTAACGACGCAGCTCACGGCGGCTCTCCGTAAGGTCAAACACCGAGGCATTCGGTTCCACTTAGAAATCCCGCATTTAGTAATCCCGCTTGACACCTCCTCCCCAACAATTCCAGGCTTCCCTGCAGCCAGGGTACCAATAGCAACGAAGGCACCCTTTAGAACTCATGAGTTATGAGCCCCTCTCAATGCAATTACATCCGCACCAGCACCTGCTCCTGACACCACATAAAGATGCACGGAAATATATACATATTTATATACGCATACATGGCAACGACTGTTGCTGCAAAAGAATGCTCATCGATGAGCACCAGCAATCTGAGGTGTCCCAGATCTGCTGCACCCGTTTCCTTAGCATCCGCAGTACAGTCAAGCTGCGGCTGCAGTACTAGCCTCAATATGTACTGCACGTATGGAGTATAAGGAGCAGCTACAGCAACAAAGACTGCCGTCATGCTTTAAACCGCTCGCCTCATAAGCACCAGCC